GCCCCGGATTCGATATTATTTTCGACTTGCATTTTACGCCGACCTATGTATTTGTATTTTGCGCACAATGGTTATCTGGTATTGTACTGTTCAACGTCACTACAGCAGTGTGTTGCTTGGCAGCCATGTTCGTCGCTCACGCTTGCGGTCAAATCGAGATCGTAATGGCCCGCGTAGGAAATTTTGTAAAAAATGCACAAAGTAATCATAAACACATAAAGCAACAGATGGCAATTATAGTGAAACACCATATGCAGTCATTGAGGTGAGTGCTTGGTGCACTTCATTGCGGAAAAAAAATGTTTGTGTCAATTATATCCGATTATCTAAATTTAAAATTATATAAATTGCAAAATGAATAAAGAATATTTATGGAAATAGGAAAAACAATAAATCTTTAACTTTTATAACTGTAGAAATGTTTACCTATTTCATAAATAACAGTTCAACTCAATGAATAATCAAACTTAAATTTAATTAACAGTACTGAATAATTTTTCACAAAAATAGAAAAACGAAAATTAATTTATTAAATGAAATGCATAGAAACTACATTAAAAAGTTTTACAGATTTTCAATCAATATCGATAATATTTTACGCGAAATATGTCTGGTTGAAATAGTGGGAACAACGTTAACTATATGCCTGCTGGAATATTATTGCATCATGGTAATGTGTAAAAAATTCTATTACAGCATCAAGTGTGTGGTAAGGTGTATAAAATTTTAAAAATAACAACGATGTGAAAATATGTGATTATCAACTAACACATTGATCAAATTTTTGCTATTAACTATACAGATATTTGACATATTTTATACATATGTATTATTTCCTATTTATTTAAAGAAATTTCAAGATGTATATTCACACACGTTTTTAAATTATAATAAAAAAATAAAATTAGTATTATATCATCCTTACAGGAATGGAATAACAACGACAGTATAGCAATTTTAACATACTTTTTTTTATTAATATCGTTTGTCTTCAATGTTTTTACGCTTTGCTACATTGGTGAACAATTAACAAATCAGGTGTTTAAATTTAAATTTTTAATAATTTTTTAATAATGAAATAAATTTTATAAAATTTAAAACATTTGGATGTTGCTACGTATAAACATTTATATGACGAATTATACATAAATAATGCAAATATGTAAAAATTAAAAATAAATTTAGTGCAGTAAAATTGGGTATACTTCGTATGAAATCGAGTGGTACCATTTACCAGGAAAGATTGCACTTGATCTCACGTTAATAATCAGCATATCACATCATCCGATAAAAGTTACTGCAGGAAAAATAATCAGTCTTTCGTTCTCAAGTTTTGGCTCTGTAAGTACAATGTATTATCACTTCGAAGGTGAAAAAGGACAATAGTAAAAATTTTTTTAAGCATATTTTATACATTAACAGGTACTGAAAACTTCGATTACATATTTAAATATGCTCCGAACATTCGTTTGATACATACAA